CTTCCTTTCCGCCTCCTCCTCCGCCTGGCGCTTCATTTCCGCCTCTTCCTCTGCCTGGCGACTCCTTTCCGCCTCCTCCTCTGCCTGGCGACTCCTTTCCGCCTCCTCCTCCGCCGCCTGGCTCTTCCGTTCTGATTCGGTCTCTAGTCTATGTTTTTCGGTCATTTTCTGTAGACGGGCAATTTCCTCCTTGAGACGTCCAATCTCGTATTCCTTGAACTTCACTCTTTGATTTTCGTCTTGCATAACAGGAGCAGATGCCTCAGCTGGTGTGGTTCCTTCCTTGACGGAGTTCCAAATCCCCCCATCCTCCACCCCCGGCAACGCACCTCCCGGGACAGTCAAAAACAGAAGACATACGCAATGCAAGACGACGGCGGAAGTAAGTCTTCCAATCATAATATGATGCCGCTTCGTCATTAAACGCTTATTTGCCTTGTTTTCCTGTTTTGCCATCTTTCCTTGCTCGTACGGGGTAGTTGCTATCATACCCAAACAAATCCGCTAGAAGAAAAAATGCAATGCGTCCCACTGCAGAAACACCCAGACATTCAAAACAAACATCACACGAGGGGAATTCCCATATGTCAAACAGGTTACTTCAAGAGAAAATTTTGGGCTAGAAAAGAAGCAGCTCGCTCACAGACTGATATAGTAAACAGAAAAAGGGAAGGGTAACAAAGAAAAAAATCAGATTGTGAACACATTGTAAAATCACCGTAAGTAGAAACAGAAGTAAAATCTAAAAAAATCCCTAGAGAGAGAGAGAGAGAGTTACATTTGTTGAGGCATAGAGAACTCCATGCAGTCCCCAGGAACGCAGCTTATCCTTGGAGGCTCTGCACCCATAGTTTTAACACCCGTACCGATGCGCATCGAAGTTCCCCCGATACGTTCCGGTATCGCTGGAGTTTGATCCATGAAAGAGGGTGGTAGCGCGGGAGGCTCATCATATCCCACCTCCTCAAGTGAGCGACATGGGCCACTCGGTGGTGCCGCAAAAGGGTTGCGTGGACCCGCCTTTGGGCGGGGCACAGTGATTTGAACAATTTCAAGCGGCTTTGCCTCCTTAACTGACTTTGACAGAAAAAAAGCATGATGAATAGGTCGACCAGCCGCAGCATCCTTTTCTGCCTCCTCAAGAATCAACTCGGTAGACTTGATTGAGGGCGGGCGCAACTGAAGTTCCTTATCCGCCATTGCCTTTGCAATAACAAGATCTTGAAGGCTGTTTTTTAAAAGGATGACCACATGTTTTAGCCGCCTCTCGGAGGCCACATACAGAGGGTCCTTGCCGTCAACGTCGTATATGTTGACGTCAGCCCCAGCATTCATAAGTTGGTAAACAGCATTGTGAAAACCGGCCTTGGCTGCCAAGTAAAGAGGAGTTTCCCCCCTGAAGTTTTGCGCATCCAGATTCGCCCCTCGTTCCACAAGAAGAGCAATTAGGGCGCAATTGCCTATGCGAGCCGCCACATGCAAAGGTGTTTCATCGTCACGGCCATTTTTGGCGTTGACATCGGCACCATTCTCCAGAAGTAACAGTACCACTTTTATTTTGCCGTTGAAGCAGGCAATGTAAAGCGGGGTCTCATCATCGAAACCCTTCATATCCACTTCTGCTCCAAGGCTAAGCAACTGTTCGACTGTGCGTGTTCCTACGTTCTTCTTCATAGAGGCATAATACAGCGGCGTGTACCCGTCGGCATTCACAAAATTTATATTTTCCTGTGAGAACTCCCGCTCTATCGCAGCAGAGTCCTCTCGTTCAATAAAACCAAACACACTGTGGTCCATGTTGGTACAGTTCTAATATGATGACAACGGAAAAGGAAAAAGCGGCACACACATATATGTGAGAGCATATACTTAAGTATTTTTACTTGTACATTTTATTTTTTCTACTTTTCCTCCGTGGTTGCCTCTGCATTCGCTGATGAGAGGAAGAAAATAAAAAAAAAAATGTTATAATAATGCACATGTTTAGTTTCGTTTATTATTATTTTGTATTTTGCTTTTGTTTTTCTTCCTGCTGTTGTTGCAAAACTTACCAGCGAACAAAAGCACAGTGTTTGTTCACAAATTGTGATGGGCCGCCGTGGTGAAAACTGAAAAAAAAAAAAAGTGGACCCGCCTTGTTTAAATTTCGTCCTCCACAACGCAGTACTCTGACGCATACGCCTCTGTGTTGCAGTTTCCACTGCAGGTAAATACAAGAACATTCCCAAAATGTAGAGAATGCCTCCTCGGCCCTTTCGTGTTTGTCAAGAAATAAATGATGGGCGACGTCAGCTGAAGCTCGTACCGGCGCTCCTTATTGCAGTACGGGCATCGTGGCGCGGCCACCGTCACGACGGAGGAGCGCAATGGCTCCTGGCCAGGAGCCCAGCGCACACACTGCGAAGGGGCTCGGCCGATTCGCTCCACATACTTGCGTAGACATTTTTCCGGCAGTGGCTCATCATCATCCTCGATAATTGTCATCTCAACGACATTGTCGCCGTATTTTTTTTGTGTCTCCTGTAACTCATTCTTGAAAGTGGAGGACTTTGCCGCCAACTTGGGCGGCTCCTCAAACACGTCAAGCACGAAGCATGGGAAACCCACACCTTTGATTGAAGGCCTTGACCCAGGAGGGGCGAGAGCAGCAGGCTCCTCAGTGCTGTGCGTGTCCTCAGTAATCGCCTCGGCTGCCATGCCTGCGGTGCTATTTTGGTTTTTGCTTGTGCTCGACCCTGCACCCGCATCCGCCTCATCCTCCGTTCCCCATCCCTCATCCACCCCATCTCCCCAGTCCGCGTTTACTTCAAAGAGAGCCCCGTCTTCCTTGCATCCCTGCTGTTCCGGCGGCTTTAACGCATTTGCGTAAGCAGGGTTAAAGTTCTGTGATCGAAGAACAAAGCAAAAGCTGTTCTGCGCAGTGCTACACGAAGAGCAGGTGAGGACGTACAAAACTCGATCGTATACCTCCAAGGGAGCGTAAACCTGGGCCAGCAACGAGACCGCATGCATGCCACAACACTTGGGGCAACGAAACACCGTGTTATCGGTTGCCTCACGAAACAAGGTGGCTGTCCCACCTATTCTCGATGTATAAACAGAACAAAGGTCTTTGCCGGCAGATGTCACTGGTGTTCCAAGCCAGACAACATCTTTTCGTGTCATCCTAGGCCTTCCCCTTTCAAAGGCACAAGAAGAAAGGAAACGTGATGGAGGATTAGATGCATTTAATGATCGTTATTTCCACCCACCCACCCACACACACACATCTAAATAATATATATATATATATATATTATATTATTAGCGTATGGTATGCACACTTCATATGTAGTACACGGTGCGCCAAAAAAGCATCACTGTCAGTGAAGGAAAAAAAAAAAAAAGGGGGGGGGGGGGGAGGCACCTACGCACTCACGCAGGCGCCGTAAAGTCTATTGCAACCTAAAACAGTTCAGTTAATGAGCGCGTTAGCCAATCCCCTCCATACGCCTCCCTTAAATAATACGAGATATTGTGGGGGCAGTAGCTGAAGACATTCGCCACTGTGCATGATTGCAGGGGAAAGAGCTCTGTTGCGGGTGAAATGCCATCAGCAGAAACCACAACCCCGTCACTAACGCTCGTCTCATGAAACTCCGCGCAAATTCGTTTGGTGCATTTTTGGAACACCCTCAGCAGGTTGCGCTCACCTGTGCGGACCGTGGACACAACCCCAAAGCAACGCTCATCGAGTTCCCGCATCATCACCAAAAGTTTGTCACTGTTGTCTGGCTTAACAAAGCCAATGTCAAGATCAGCGTCCCACAGCACCAGCCTCCCAAGCCTCGTGGATCCTAGCAGAGTGCCGTTTTGCAACCAAAAAACAATGTTATTTTCTTCTAGAAGACCCATAAAACACGTCAACGCATCGTGAAACGCCGCCTCTCTGTCGTAGTAGACATGAAAGCAATACGTTACTGTCAAGTACATTACAAACCCCAGCAGCAGCACCACAATCGCCCGTGTCCAGTACAGGCCAAGGCTCACGCCACTTGTGGGAGAGCTTTCAGGCATAGTGGATTCAACTTTCAGCTTACACTCCTATCACCTTGAAGGTGGGTGGGGAAAGGAATAGGGCAAACACCGTCCTGCCTCACGACACTCACGCAGAGTGTAAGAAAGAGCGAGGTACATAGATAGAAAAAAAAGGGGGTTTCGTCACGAGCAAAAAGCAAAGAGAAAAAAAAAAAAACAGCGACGGTTCACTGAAACTGGTTCCAAGCGGTTTGTCTCCATCACGCGAGACTCTGGCAAAGAACTATTTTTTAGACACCCCTGGATACTGAAGTAACAACAGCGCCTCCTGATGTTTCTTTTCGCGTGCACGTGCAAATGCCAGTTCGCGCTCTAATCGTGCTATTTGTAGGCGAAGCCGCTTGCATTGGTGGCAGTCAAAGCTTCCATTCAACACCAGCGTCAATGGAACAAGAACATCATTCAAGGAGGAAGCGCTTTGCTCTTGCCACGCGCATTTGTCCATGCATTCAAGGCGTTGCCTAGCTGTAATACTCCGTTTGCAAATTGGGTATAACTGAAACTGCACCAAGATACCAAAACAAAAGCAATTACAACAACAAGAAGGAAATAAATTTAAAAAAAGGCCCTGTGAGAGCCTGAGTGTTGGCTCCACCACCAACCCCAGCGGCTGCAGCAGCAACCTGCTGAAAATAAATAATCTTTTCCTAGACACGCTTCAAAGAAAAGCTGTGTTGTGTACTCAACCACAAACCAACAGGGGACTAGCTCCCTGTTTTCCCCCACAATTTGCATGGGCATTGCGTAAAAATTATGCAAAAGCAACTGCTTAGAAATAGTTGTAAAATCAAATCTGTTAAATGTGTTCAACAAGACGTCTTCCTCTTGTGGTACATGTGACATGAATTCATGGAGTATGAGGGTGATTACCTCCATCATGTGAAAAAGTCCCACGAAGTGAATCCAAAAACGTGATGGCCTGCGTACGATTACGATCCAAGTCCCCCCGCAGAAGTTTATTGTATGAGCCACACAAAACCAAAAAAGCCGCTGACACAAGATGTAGCAATTTATTTCGGTTTGTTTTCATTCTAGGAACTGGTGAGCTTTGGCAATGACAAGGGTGTTTTGTGTCCAAGGGCAACGCACGATGCCAAGGTTGAGCATTCAGGTTTCGCCTGGATGTACGTCTGTGACCCTGATGCTAGGGTTATGTCGCCTTCCCCCTCTGTCAAGATTACCCAACCCCAGTAACGCTCGCAGCGTGTACCAATGGGTCTGTCCGATGGTCGTTATTTGCGTAAATAGATTGTAAAATACAGTATGCATTGTACTCCAACAGTCACCTATACGGTTTGTTAAGAATCTCATTCCAAACTGCTTCACATATATTCATTGAATTTATTTTATCTAAAATTGTCGAGAGGATACTGCATACACTACGCAGCACCTGCAAAATACCAAAACCAAACAAAAATCAGCCTTACTGGCCACATTCCAAGTACTCAAACAGACGGCGTACAACCATAACGGCCACGGTTTCAATCTCTTTACGCGCGCATGAATCAGAGGTAAGAATAATAGTATTGAGTGTTTCTAGATAAGAAAAAACGTCCATTACAAGAAGTTTTCTTTAAAAGCACCCACACTGTCAAAATATATCGTCAATTTCTCCTTTCCCATTGTAAACTAAGTCAACATAGCCATAGTGCATGCGCATGTATTCCATTCATCAAAAACAATAATTAATCATTTCGAGTCAGGCAACAACTCCACATTAGTACAAAAAATGTTGCAGTGAAGGGATGCACTGTCTATACAAAAAACAGCGTATGCACGATATCAGATATAATGGCATGGAAGAATTTTAACCGCAATGCTATTCCAATGCAACTGGAAATACTTCAATAGGGAAAGATTTCCTGAATTAAGTGGTTGTCAGTGAAGAAGAAAAAAACCGTCAGAGGCAAAATATGAAAAAAGTGATGTGCCTTTAAAAAAAAAACTGAGATAATCAGTTTAACGTAAAGATGAAAAAGTGATGGAAACACATTCTCTGCCACATCCCGAATATATATATATATATATATATATATACTACCAGAAGTAAAGG